GTAATATTTGGGGTCACAAGTTTTTGCCATGGGTATTTTGTGGGTCAGAAGATAAAAAGTTTGGGAACCACTGCGCTACACGGTCTCCAGGCTGCTCTGAGTTGATCCTTTGTTCTGCTGCTCGGCAGGAAGACGCAGTTCTGCTCACAGCGCAGCCGCATTGCCCGCTGCCCCCCCTCCCTCCGCTCCAGCAGGCCGCGCATGCGCACTGGCTCGTCTGTTTGCATTGTGTCTGAACTGCCGGCGAGCTTTAAAAATAATATAACCAACCGCGGCAATGTCGGGCAGGTCGGTCCGAGCTGAGACCCGGAGCAGGGCGAAAGATGACATCAAGAGGGTTATGGCCGCTATCGAGAAAGTACGAAAATGGTAAGGGAACCAGGATGAAATAATCGGCTTCGTTATCTAACAAGAGAAAAGGCTTGCTGGTTGGGGGAGGAGAGGGACGGAATGAGGGATGAAACAGAAAGATAAAGGGCAGTTTTCTGAACCAGGTTTTGAACATGTACCGGTGGTTCGGCTGGAAGCGGACTGCTGCAGCTTTGCCTGGCCGTCGTCGGCTCTCTGTGCGGGGCCACGCAGCCGTGTAGTCGGTGTTTTTCCGTTGATTTCAACGCGAAAGGGTTGAACCCAGAAGCCATTTCGATGCAGTCACATGAAGAGCTGCCCGCCGCTGTGCTGCCGGAGCAGGCAGCGGCTTCAGGAGCGAACCGTCCGATAACCACGGACCCGAACACAACCGGGGCACGGCGCGACGGAGCCGTGGCAGGTTTTAGTCCGTGCGGAGTTTTAAATTAAGCGCTTTGAGTCGTTTGGATCTGCCGGAGAAGAAGAGTCTGTGGGGGTGGGGAGAGGGAAGTAGGCTAGCTGTGGTGCATGGCTGAACACAAGCTTTTAACCAACAAAAAACACACTTTACTCACATTAAACCAGTTACAGACATCACACAGGGCTTTGGAACAGATGCCTTTTCTCATATAGACTTTATAACCCCGTCTGTTATTAATTTTATCCCTTTTTAAATATGGTGGATATATCAAAATGTTCCTAAATCAGAATAGGCTACTCTAAAATTTATGTAACTAAAAAAAAAAAAAAACAGTTTACAAAATTTAAATGTGTTCTAAGAAAATGCAGAACTATAATATTTGTGTAAATGCTGTTTAAGCATTCACATAATTTAAAATTTTTGTAATATAACTACTTCAGCATATTTAATGCCTTTTTACTCGTTAAATATTCAAGCTTATTCAAGATGTCAGATCTAGGACTTGTGTTTATTTTTTACTTTTCTGTTTTTTTTATTAGAAAAAACAGTGTCTAAGTCAGGGGTGCCCAAACATTTTCCCCGAGGGGGCCAAAATGAAAATCTATCCATGGCTGCGGGCCAAATGCGGTTATATAATACATGAAATACAAATACTTTTTAAAGTAAAGTCCTTTATTTTGAACAATTAAGCTGTGCAATGGCCCTCTTTTGTTTTAGTCTGTGCACTTGGTGAAAGTCTGCCATACGCTCAAGTAGCAAAGGCTCATGGGACATATTATAAAT